AGATCCATGTGCAAAAGTTGAAGCGGTCTAGACGTTGAAACAACGTTCTTAGACTTAAACGAAGCCCGAACTTGCTTCCCCTTTTGAAACCAATTTGTTCAAAAGGTTCATGTTCATATGAGCTACCCTTCGGTGCCATAACCAAGTATCTTCCTCTTTACTCATGAGGCACTTAGCAAAGTCGGAAGGAGATTTGTCTAAGTTAACCATATAAATGTTATCGATTCTATCACCACGTAGAATGACCTTATTGTCACTAAGGCGTTCTACCGTGCATGATTTTGAATCGAAAGTCACACGATTTCCCTTGTCACATAATTGACTTATGCTCAAGAGATTGTGTTTAAGACCTTTAACAAGCAAGACATTATCTATAGAGGAGTTTTCAGATTTACCTACTGAACCAACGCCGATAATTTTTCCCTTGCTATTGTCTCCAAAAACTACGTTTCCTCCTTTAGCGGGTTTGATTTGGAGAAACTTGGATGCATCCCCGGTCATGTGCTTGGAGCATCCGCTATCAAGGTACCAAAGTACACTTGATGCCTTCAAGCACACCTATGAAACACATCAATGAGTTTTAGGTACCCAATTTATGTTGGGTCCTCGGGTGTTAGGTGTGTGATGGTAGTGTGCTTGATTTTTTGATAGGTGCCTATGCCTAGTGTAACAAACGGGAGCAATATGGTCTATCCTATTACAGTAATGGCAAACTACGTTGGGGTTGTACATGTGCCTAGGTTCATAATAGTTAGAGGGTTTAACCATTTTGTTCCTATTTTGTGAAAACAATGGTTTTTGAAAATTTTGAAACTGGCCTTTTCTAGGTGTTCTAGCATTATTTCTCCTAATTTGAGAAAATTTGTTTTTATGCACAAAATCATTTTTCTTAGGTTGTCTACCATGACCATTTTCATTCCTAGGTTTTAGTCTAGATTGTCTAGTGTTCTTAGGTTGACTAGGTTTTCTATTATCTTGATTTTTAGGTTTCTTATGTTGAGCCTTAGATGATTGTCTAGGTGGTGGCTCAACATTATCTTTAGCTTTGTTTTTATCAAAACCTATTCCTTCTTTAGAAAAATGCATAGTGTCAAGAAGTAAATTTAAGTCTTTGTGAGGAGTATTAAATTTCTTGACCGTGCTCTCAAGTTTAGCGACTTGATCTTTAAAGGCTTTGCAAGACCCACATTCACTTGATGAGCTTTCTGGTTGTCAGCGCTTCTTTTTCCAAAAATTTTTTTTCCTTGTTTAAGTATTTCATTTTCTTTGAAGTCGTTTCTTCAAAGATTTATTTGTTTTAGAAGCGCTAACAAATTCCTCATAAAGTTCATGAAGTGCTTCTTGCATTTCTTCAAAAGTATAAGAGTCGGAAGAAATGTTACATACCTCTTGGACGTCGTCGCTTTGATCTTCGTGCGCCATGAGGCAGAGATTTGCAACTTCGTCCTCCTCTTGGTCGGTTGATTCGTCGCCGAAATCGCCACCCCAAGAGATGTAGGCCCTTTGCTTCTTGAAGCCAGGCTTGTCCTTGCCGTGTTTGGCTTTTGGACACCTTGGCTTGATGTGGCCAATCTCGCCACAGCCGTAGCACTTGGGAGGGCCGTCATGCTTCCTTTCCTTCCGCTCAAATTCCTTCTTCATGAACTTGTGGAACTTCTTGATGACGAGCCCGAATCCATTGTTCTCATCGCTTGAAGCCTCTTCCACCGGTTCCTTAGTGGCTTTGAGAGCTATCCCCTTCTTCTTTTGTTCATCCAAAGACGGGGTTAGAATAGTAGATTCATAGGTTTTAAGGTTACCTCTTAGCCCGTCGATGGTGACGTTGGAGACTCCGATGGATTCGTAGATTGCATCGGCTTTTGACCTCCATTCGGGTGTGAGACTCCGCAGGATTTTCCTCACGAGATCCTTGTTGGCGTAAGTCTTTTTGAGAGCATGAAGATCGTTGATGATCTTTGAGAACCGGTCGAACATGTCATCGATTTTCTCACCTTCTTTCATTCGGAACATTTTGTACTCCTGGGTGAGAAAATCGATATTGGCTTCACGAACTTGATCGGTACCTTCGTACGTCACTTCAAGCTTGTCCCACATCTCCTTGGCGGTTGTGCAGCAAGAGATTTTCCGGTAGTCATCGGGGTTGACCGCACAATAAAGCATGTTGATAGCTTTTGCGTAGTTTTCAACCTTCTTGATGTCCTCGGCATCAAACTCGTCCTCGGTTTTTGGGACTGTGGTTTCTCCTACTTTCTTCATAGGGATTTGTTCTCCGTTTTTGATGACCAGCCATAATTGGAAGTTGGTGGAACGGATATAGATTCTCATCCGTTCCTTCCAATAGGAGTAGTTGGTGCCATCAAAGAGTGGTGGCCTAGAAGTTGATTGGCCTTCTCCAATTCCTGCATAGAGATTTCTAGAAGAAGAACCCATGATCGCTTTACTCTCAAACGGTTAAGTTTGGACGCGAGTTAGGCCCTGATACCAATTGTTAGGATAGTAGACCAACGCTAGAGGGGGGGGGTGAATAGCGTTTAATCAAAAATCGCAGGAATACAAAAATGAATAAACGAGAGGTAAAGAGAAGAGTAAGAGGCACACCGATTTTACCCTGGTTCACCACAACTTGTGGCTAATCCAGCCTCCCATGCTCTCGAGCTAAACTACTATCTCGTTAAGCTTAACGGTGCTTAACAAACCCGTACAACTTGAGAGTTCGAGTCACACGAACCTCAACGAACCTTCGAAGGAAACAGCCCTTCCTTCAAACAACAAGAGAAATACTTTCTCTTGTCAAGTGTCTGAGAACACTAAAAACACTCAAGAACAATACTCTCTTTTAGAGTGGATAATGAGTAAACTAAGAACGCTCAAGAACACAACACAAACTTCACAAAAATGGCTCTCAAAAGCTATGAATAATTGAAGAATGATTTGCAATGAAAGAGTAGGAGTTGTGAAGTAATGTGATATGTAAAACAGACCCAAACACCCCTTTTTATAGTAGAAAAATAGGCTCCAACGGACCAAATTATTTAAGGGGTGATTGGCACAATTTGTGGGATTTGATGAAATTTGGATCTGCTGAAATTCACCCAGACAGCGCTGTCCTAGGCTTGGATATCGCTGTTCTAAGCTTGCGTTTTGAAAAATGGGAAACAACGGTCATGCCAACAGCGATGTCTAAAATCCCTACATCGCTGTTTTGGCTGTTGACTTCCAAACAAGGAAAGTTTTAGCCTTAAATTCCCTCCAACGGTCAGGTCTCTACATCGATGTTCCATACTAGAACATCGCTGTTTAGGTCTGCCTTTGAAGATGGAAGTTTGGCTTGACAGCGCTGTTGCTGGGTCAACATCACTGTCCAAAAACTTTCTGCCAATGCACTATATTTTTGGCTTAGGTTGGACAGCGCTGTAGGGAAGCCTACATCGCTGTTCCAGAAGTTTCTGGAAATCCAACCTTGGCTCAACAGCGATGTCTAATGTCCAACATCGCTGTTGGAAGACTTAACGCCAAACCATGTTTTTAGCTACCCAAGCCAGACAGTGCTGTTGGTTACACCAACATCGCTGTTGGGCTGGTTTAGCCAGACCCATGGTTGGTTTAGTCACACCGTTAGCCGATGTCAAAAACGTAAGTTCTCCAAAAATAAAAACCAAGTATTGAAAACATTTTTTTGTTGCATTTTGCTAAGAAATCAAGTAAAACATTTCAAAAACCACGTCATTTAGTTGAAAACCACGGCTAACCAAGTTTGTGCCGTTTCGCATGGTTTTCACTAAACGACCAAAAACGGAAAGTGGTTTTTGAGGCGTTTTTGTTGGAGAACTATTTAAATATGCCCAGAAGTAAAAACCAGTAATAAAAAATTGAAAACCACTTGGTTGGTTCGAACCCCAAAAACCAATGCCGAAAACCGAGAGCCGAACGCCGGTTTCTGAAAACTGAACGCCGGATGGCTTGGTTTTTGGTCTGGGCGAACTCCAAGCGTTTTTAGCCAAGTTGAAAACTTTAGAAAAAATATTTTTGAATATGCAAAAGATATTTCGGTGAGAGAAGCCTAGAGAGCCAAGTTTTTGAAAGTTTGTGCCGGTCTTGATCACATTAAGACCGACTCAATATAATTCTTATCCTTTGTTCTTGATTCTGGGTTCTTGGTTCTCAAATCATCATGCCATGTTCCTTTGCCTTAGTTTTGCTCACTTTAGCTTTGATATGTCGCGGCAGTTTGGCATTATCAAAACCTGTCATAGAAACGAACACAGTTTAGTACGACGTAGGCGTAAACCCGTGTTCCAACAAAATTAAAATGTTAAAAAATCACTCAATTAAATGATCATCCAAATAAATATGTAAGAAAACTTTAATTTTAGATAAAAAAGAATTTATCATTGTCCGTGTTTGAGATGGTATGTTATAAATTTGGATATATAATGTTACTATATACATCATATATAAATATTAAATACTCCGTACATTTTTAATCTCTGTAAAATATGCGACTTTTGTTTATGGTCCATTCAATTTTTTTATATTAAATTATCAATGTTAAAATACTATTTTTGCAAATGGTCCTCCTCCAATTTAAACATTTGTTTCAATCCTTATAAAATTTATAAATTTTATTTTTAGTCTCTCTAAAATTCTTTTGGTTCATTCAATTTTATTTTTAAATTATTAAATACTCTATACATGATTATCTCAGAGTACTCTTTATTCAAAATTAACTTAATTACAAGATCAAAGTTGATAAAATTTTATTAAAAACATAAACGAATAAATACATTATTACGAATTCATTTAGAAATTCGATAAATTAATACTTTTTAGTAAAAATATGAATCCTAGAGAATGAGCTTTCTACCACTCAAGCTAGGGAAGAAGTTCAATAATGTAGTCATTTCATAAAGCTTCTAAAATCATTTCAATGACTTTAACCTTGTAATTAAGTAGATTTTGGCTAAATAGAATAAGTTAATATTGTACATCGTATCTCATTATTTGAAAAAATATGATTGAATAAACCACAAGAATTTTAGAGGTACTAAAAAACAATTTGTAAATTTTACAAGGATCTAAATAAATATATAAATTGAGGGAGTAGTATTTACAAAGTAACCTGTGCAATTAAGGATCCGGGCCGGATTTGGGCCGGGCTTGATATAAATTATTAGCCCATTTACATGGGCGGGCCTGGCCAGCCCAGATTTGATGGGCTAAATTCTTTACCCATACCCGCCCATCTTTACGGCCGGATTGCCCACCGGGCCGCCCGGCCCGGATAAAACATCAAGAAAATTTTTTTTGGATAAAAAATTTAAAAAAAAAACATTGAACTCTTTTTTAATATTTAAAATAAAATAACTAGTCACCACATTTATATAGAAAGCATAATAGAGATATTGTTGCATAATTAATAAACTCATCATACTGATTCGTTAAAAGAGTATTGATTTTTGTTTAAAAAAGGTGAGTGAATTAAACTATTATACATGAATTATAGAAAATTTTAAAATTTATATTGGCTAGGTAATTAATAGTACAGTAAATATATTTGATGAATATGGGCGGGTCTATTGGCATAGATGGGCTAAAAGTAACTTCCAGATCCGCCCATATACAATCCGGGCTTGGGCCGGCCCGCCCATTTGGGTATTAAAGGTTGTCTATATCCACTCTTTTTAAAGGGCGGGCTGGGCGGGCCGACCCTTGTTTGCACATGTTTATTACAAAGATAGTAATTTTATAGAACGATTTAATAATAATAAATATTTCGAAGGGAACAAAAACAAAACTTGCTATTTTTTTGAGTAAATTCCATAATTAGTCCTTTATAACAGGGGGGGTTTCCATATTTAGTCTTCTATTATCAAATATTACCCCCGTAGTCCTTTTTTTAAGGGTACCTTTCCACAAATGGTCCTTTTTTATCTTCTGTCGTGTTGGTGTTAATTTAAAGGCTAAAAGTATAATTTGACGTCAACATTATGTCTAGTGACGTGTTCTAATATTGGTTAAGCGGATAACACAAAAATAATGACTATGATTATGGGCTAGCATTCTGACGAAAGATCACATTTGTAGACTATAGTTGTCGTAAAAAGCGACTGTAATTCACAAACGACGAAAACGGAACAGCCTTTGGAATTGTGTATGACAAAAAAGATATATTATCATTGTGAAATTACACTTTTAGCCCTCAAATTAACACCAACATGATAGAAGATCAAAAAAGGACTATTTGTGGAAATGTACCCATAAAAGAAGGACCACTTGGGTAATATTTGATAATAGAGGACTAAATAGGGAAACCCCCTGTTATAAAAGACCAATTATAAAATTTACTCTATTTTTTTACAGTTTTTATAGGGAGGACTAGACCTGGCAAAACTGACTCGGACCCGATAACCCGAACCGAATAACCCGGAACCAAACCCGAATTGACCCGAAAACTGAGGAACCGAAATAGAACCGAACACCCGAAATGATCCGAACCGAATCGAACCCGAACCGAATGTATTCAGACCTGATTCAAACCCGAACCGATTAAACCCGAACCTGGTTAAACCCGAACCCGGTTAAACCCAGAACCGATTAGACCCAAAACCGATTAGACCCGAAATTGATCAAATTCATTAATATTTCATTTATCAAATGAATTTGGAGAAAACGAATTACCTATATATTTTTATATATGTTGATGTGTTTCTAAAAACATATTTAAATTATGGGTGCAAACCATGTAACTACTTCCATGTACAAATCTTTTACTTTGCATTTTGTAACTTAAGTTAAAATATTTTTATGTTTTTATAGAAATTATATAAAAATTATAGTTAACTAAATTAACTAAATTTATTATGTGATATTATTCATTTATTAGTATGTGTTTACATTATACTTGAACTAATATAAATTTAATTCGATATAAACTCAAATCTATATAAACCCAAATCAATACAATACGAATTGATACAAACCTAAATCGATATAACCCGAACCGATACAAACCCGAACCGATATAAACCCGAACCGATATAAACCCGAACTGATACAAACCCGAACCGTTATAAACCCGAACCGAAACCGAACCGAAACCGAAAACCAATCAAACTGAAATAAACCCGGAATCGAACTGACCCAAACCGAACCGACCCGAACCGATTATAACATACTACCTCCGTCTTAGAGTATTTGTCCACTTTCATTTTTACACACTATCTAATGCACTTCTTTAATCGATTTTATCTTGTAATTTGTATATTAAAAAATTATAGAAATTATATATTAATAATCTATATGTTAAGACAAATCAAACAAGATCACACATGACTATATTTAGGCTTACACATTGAAAGAATTTGATGAGTCAAAGTGCTCAGATGAACAATTTCAAAAATCAAAACTGGACGAATATTCCGAAACGGAGGGAGTATATCCGAAAGAGACCCGAACCGGAAAGACCCGAACTGGAACCGAACCGATTGACCCGATTGCCAGATCTAGGGAGGACTATTTACAAAAATAGGAATTTTATAGGGATGATTTAATAAAAAATATTTTGGTGCATCCGTTATCTCGAGTCTCTTTCATTCTCGTTTGCATCCATGGCCTCTCAGTGATTCACACCCGCCGTTGCCCTCTTTCCGATCTGCATTGCGGGAATCAAGAATCAAGATGAAGATGGAGAATATTGAAGCAAGTAGATTTCGGTCGGTAAAAGGGAGGGGTTTGTGTCCGCCGTCAAGATCGATGCCGGACTTGTTGCCTGATTGGATGTTGATATCCGTGATTGCAGCATATGGAAGATCAGGCGTGTTGTACGAAGCCATGAATCGGTCTACCCGCCACACCCGCGCTTTGATGGATTTGCCCTACGATGCCTCCCAATTCGAAGAAATCAGCCGCGAAGTCGTCATTCTCAAGGAACTCGATCATCCCAACCTCGTCAAATGCTACGATGTTGTCATCTCTGAGGATACCGGACGGATTTTTCTAATCCTCGAACCCCTTTGCGCATCTTTTGAAGGCGAGAGCATCACAGCTGAATCCGACCTCGTTAATCTCGCCCATCAACTCATCTTGGGGTTGACTTACCTCCACCAAAACAAGATTGCACACGGAGATATCAAACACTCCAATGTCTTCTTCAGTCATACACGCCAAACCAAGCTTCTGTATTTAGGGGAAACTTTGTCTAATGAGCCACCACCATTTTTAACTGAAATTGGAGCTATGCATGATCGGTTCTCGTGGGATATATGGAGTGTGGGGTTCTGCATTCTCAAATGGTCCGAAGGTTTGAATTGGTCACACAGAGATGTTGGATTCAATCAAAAGCATGAACCATCACTGGGAATAGATTTGAATTCGTCTGGAATTTTTCCCTCTTCATCTAATGAGGGAGCCCTGGTGTGGAACCGAGAGCTGTTGAGGCTTATCATTTCTTGCATGCAGCCAGATGTACGGAAGAGATGGACGGCTGAACAACTTGTTCATCATCCCTTATTTGATCAAATGCAATTGAAGAGAGAGGTTGGATCTCATCTACTATTGAGACTTGGTATTTTCCGAATAATAAAATTTAGTCATTTAACTAAAGTGATAACAAAAATGTGTGTTTAGTAGTGGAAATATATTGCCGTAGTGGCAAGGAAGCCACCACCAGCTTCTCCACGTCTAGAGTCCCACTCTTGCGCTTTAGAGGTTGAGTTTATAAGATTAAACATATATTATGCTGATGGGTTTGGGCGTTATTAAAAATATGTGTGTTTACTTGATTCTGTTTCTATTTGCTCTGATCAAAGTTGCAATACAAATTTTAAGGTGAAGTATGTTTTTGATATATTTTGATGGAACTTGCGAAAGGAGATAGATCTTGCTTGCTGCAAGGGTTATGATTGATTCTGTCTAGCCATGCGTGTTTACCTTATTATTTGATTAAAGAACACGAAAATAGAGAATTGAAAGGAATGAACATCGAAGATATCCAACATGGACCGTATTCAGGAATGCTACTGGAACTTTAGATGCTTTATTGATCCATTGAAAGTAACAGTGGTTTATATGTAGAAAATTTTGAGCACTTTGCTTTTCAAGGAAATTTCATATTTTTTCTATTTGTGTTTATGATGCCATAACTTCTTGTTCTCTTAACTAATGTTATTATCATTGATTAACTCTACAGAGAGATATATTTGATGAAGAGAAAGAGCTAAAAAGTCCTGTAAAGAAAAAATTCAAACTATCTACGTGGGATGAGCATAAAGGATATGGTTTGGAAAGCTCAAAAGATCCTGCTAGTAGAGTACCTCACATTGTCCCTGAACGATGCATTGAACATTGCAAACTGTTTCTTCCAAATTCTGAATTTGGAAAGGATAAATTGGTACAGATGTGGGTCGCTGAAGACTGCATTGAGTTACGAGTGGCGGAAAGAATGGAGAATGTTGGTTATTCGTACTTTGATGCGTTGGTCCGTGAAAAAGTCATTGTACCTTCAAAGTTTGATAAAGTTCACAGAGAGATGAAATACAAATTCAATACGTGTCAAGTGTCGAATGGGCTCCTTAACCAGGGTAACTATTTGAGGATCAATGCATGTGAGTTGGGCACGATCCGCAGAGAGGCCTTGCATCTAACATGGCAGTGTAAGAAGATTGATCAAACCTTTTTTGATGTTTTGAAAAATTTCAAACAATTGCATACGCTTGTGGTGAATGAGGGTTGTTCTGATTTGATAACGGTACTGCCCCATGACATCTTTTTGGGTTTAAGGTTCTTAAGAACATTGGATTTGAGTCGCACTCATATAGAAGAGATTCCAGGTTCAATTGGAAAGTTGGAATCACTGCAGTACCTTGACTTCTCTGGGACTCCAATCAAGCAACTACCTGACTCAACAGATCGCCTGCATTGTCTGCAAACATTAAATCTTAAAGCGTGCTTTGCACTGTTTACTTTACCAAGAGGGTTGGGGATGTTGGTTAATCTTCGCCATCTAGATCTTGACATTGTTAGCCAATTGAAGTCCATGCCGAAAGGGATGGGAAATTTAATAAAGCTTCAAACTTTACGAGCATTCATTGTCGGGAAGGATGATGGGTGTGGTATAGGAGAGCTGAAACACATGAATGAGATTACAGGGTCCTTTTGTATATCAGGCCTTGAAAATGTCTCCAATGCAGAGGAAGCCAAGGGAGCCGCACTATCAGATAAACAGTATATTGACAAGCTGGAGTTGAGATGGCGCAGGTGTGGCTTTGACAAGTTTCAAGATACAACTGAAATTTTAGAATCACTGCAACCACATTTTGGCCTGAAAGAGTTACAGTTGACATTTTATGGGGGATTAAAACTTCCGAGGTGGATAAGCAATCCAGCCTATGCTGATCTTGCCAGCATAACTCTGTACAAGTGCATAAAATGTCACTTCCTGCCCTCCATTGGGGAACTTCCTTCTCTCAAGCTTCTTCACATATTCAGCATGGAAAATTTGAGGAACATCAACACAGTTTTCTGCGGGAATCATGAAACTAAAGTGGTTACAGCATTTCCAAGGCTTGAAGAATTGACTCTTGATAGCATGCCTGCCCTTGAAGAATGGACTGGAGTTGAGGATGGTGACTTCCCCCGCCTTCGCCGCATCTCAGTAAGATATTGCCCAAAACTTCGTCTTCTTCCGTCTCTGATGCTTATGTGTTCTCTTGAACATTTGGAGCTACGTGATTGCACGCAGCTAGTTTCTGTGACCCAAGGGTTATTGCCTGGTACTCTTGAATCTCTAATCATTAGAGGCTGCCCAGGAATAAACCGAAGGTGCCGCGAGGATGGAGGACTAGATTGGTTGAAGTTTGCTTCTTTGAGGAACATGTGGATTGATTTTGAAAAAATATGTTAAGGGCTTGTAGTACTTGCTTCTCTGCCAGCATTTGTGAGGAACAAAGCCTCTGTCCTCTTCCTTTTTAGAGCTTTGTTTTAAAGTAAACAAAAGATTGTTAACTTCACCAGTCATTGCTCTATAATTTTCTTCCAGCAGTGATTCTCAGTATGACATGCTATTTTACCGTACCAACATTTTAACTCATTAATTTGCATTATCTCTACAATCTCACCACTCACACTGGTGTGGAAAATCACTATGCGTAGGTTATTTTTTTTCTCTCAATGGCGAGTTTCCACATTCTTTATGCATTTTTTTGTCATGCACCATGAGGGAAAAAAACAGAAAATTACTGTCGGGCACCCTCGGTTTTGAGTTATTAACTCATAGGTTTGATCTTTTTGAAAAGGGAGAAAAAGATCAAAGTAAGATTAAAACATTGAAAATATGCCAAAATAGGACTTTCATGTTTTATTCCCAAAATAAGACTTAAAATGCATTACCAAACATGGTCATGTACATTACCATAAAATATAATAATCTGTACATGTACAGTGTCAAATTATCACAGTGCGAAGTCATATTTCAAGAAAAAAACATGAAAGTCTTATTTTGATACTTTTCTCTTTGTTTTAATCCTATTTAGAGTGATTTATATTTTAAAAATATACTCCGGGGTACCTTTAATTATCCGAAAACTAACTCCTGGGGACATTCTATCCATCCCTCCGTCCAATTCATTTTCTCCGTTATCTTTTCATCTTCTTTCCAAAAATTGCTGTTAGGTATCCTCAATTTTGTAGAAATAACTTTCAGACCAAATCATGTTTAAAAACTAGTATTTTGACCTGTGCCATGCACGGGGTCGAAAGAAATTTATGTCGATTCTGAATTTATTTTAATGAAATTTATTTTTCAGAATAAAGTAAATATATTGCTCTCATGATTTTTAATACTACAAATGAAAAAAGCCAAAGTAAAATAAATAATATTTGAGGAACAGAATGTAGAGTTAACAATGTTTATTTTAATACCAAATTTTCTGAAAGATTTCAGGGTATACAACATTTTTGGTATGATTGCAAGAGTTTCTATTGTCATCTAGAACTAATATTTTTAATCTGGTCTTTGTTTTCACTCGTGAAACAACAAAATATAGTTGACCATGTGTGAACACTGACTTGGTTCTCACAAATGACAATGTTTGACCTTGACTTTTTTTTTATTGTTATAGCAAAACATGAGGTGATCGAGTATTATCTTCTTTGGAACTTCAAGGGTAGCCCTAGATCACATGGTACCAAATTCATTCTAGGGATATAAACTTTTTCCCCGACTCGATTTCCCGAAACCACAATTGCACCGATAACATTATTTCACAGCTCTTGAACGATTAATCTTGTCCCATTACACAATCTAGATGTTTGGTCAATGTTCCTCAATAGTATAATCGGTACCCTTTTTTCAAGACAATTTTGTGGTTTGGGATTCCCAAACATTTGATTTCGTTCAAAAGCTCAACTGTTATCCAATTGCCATCAACACCTACATCTGCTTCAGCTTGGCACGAAGAATCAGAACTCAAGTACTCCTTTTCATCACCAGGAATGAGGGACAGAGAGTTGGTGCCAATAGTGCTTTATCCTCATAAAAGAATAATTTTTCATATTTTCAAACAAAAGTCATTTTCCAATATAAGACTTAAACTTTTTCAAATTCTTCATTTTTCATTTTTCAAATTTTCCATTTTTCATTTTTCATTTTTCAATTTTTTCATTTTTCATTTTTCAAACTTTTTCCCAATATAATTTTTCAAATTTTTTATTTTTCATATCTGCACTAAATAACACTAAAACAAAAGTCATTTCCCAAAATAAGACTTAAACTTTTTATCCCTTAAATAACACTTAATAATGTCTAGAAGGAGAAATAGTATCATGTGACGGTGAACATTTGTCTAAATAATGACTAATGGATAATGACTAAAAGTGCTACATTGGGAAATAAAAAACATATGTTGCTATTTAGGAAAAGTCATTATGTTTTAGTGTTATTTAGGTAAATTTCTCTGACTATGAATATATATATATATGGTGTATCAATTATTTCAGTTGAGCACAGCTTAATTGCCATTTTGATAAATGAATTACGTGTTAGATATAAGTAAATTTTCCAATTTAAAAATTATATTTGAACTTTGAATTATTTACATTGATCATTCCGTATCAATGCCTAATTTTTTTCCTCGCATGCATATCATTTTGTTTTAAAATATGTACTCACATTTTTTTATATTCACCCATTTCATATCAAATTTATTGCAAAGTTTTGAATTTTATTTAAAAGATTTTAAATACGAATATGTTTTTACTCAACTTTGTTAATATTCGTCCATTCAATTGTTTAAAATATTCAATATGTATAAACTATTTTTTT